GGATGAGTTAAGGCTGTTTTATTGGCATGGATACCCTTTCGACTTCTTACCATCCAAGTTTTATCCGGAAAACATTGTTTCCATTGACATGTCTTTAAGCAATATAAAAAATCTCTGGACAACACCCATGGTATAATTTTACTTGTTCATATATTTATTTACGGGTTTATCAACGTAATAATCTAAGCACTTCTTTTGTCCATGATGTCAGTGTTTTAGGAAGTTGAAACGGATGACGTTGAGCTACTGCCATCACCTAACAAATTTGCCCGACTTCACAGAGATTCCAAATCTTGAATATCTATATCTTAATGGTTGTGTAAATTTGGTTGAAGTTCACCCGTCTGTTGGTCTGCTCAAGAGGCTTATTTACTTGAGTTTGAAAAATTGCTATAACCTCCGGAGTTTCCCAGACAAAGTGCAAATGGATTCTCTTAGACATTTGATTATCTGGGGATGCTCAAAAGTGGAGAATTGGCCTAAGGTGTTAGGCAAAATTAAGACTTTGATAGAGCTTGGTGTTGATCTACCTGCCATAAACGAACCTCCATCTATTGTATCCTCTATAAGCAACCTTCAATCATTGTTGATTCATGGACACGAGCGGATCCGGTCTAGATGGCGGAATTCAGAGTTTCAACCTTCATCTTCACCAAGTAAATGGCATCATCCCCAAAGTTTTGTGATCCCTTCGTTTGCGAGTCTACATTTTCTTAAACATCTACACGTTAGCAACTGCAATATATCTGAAGTGAGCTCTGACATCTTTGAAGCCTTATCTTGTTTAGAAGAATTAGACCTTCATGGGAATAGTTTTTCTAGCTTGCCTGCAAGTTTGAGTCAACTAAATCAACTTGAATATCTTGATATTAGTGATTGCGAGAAGCTTGAAGTATTGCCAGAAATTCCTCCCAAAGTTTATTCTTTTGCAGCATATGGTTGCACCTCGTTGCACGATGTGCGGAGACGACTACCAATCATGCATCCTAGGGGTTTGCAGATATATCTCTTTGGTTGTCGAAAATTGGTCGAGAAACATACTATTGAAAGCTTGGTGTCTATGTT